TGTCCTTTTTCCTTCCACCACCCAGAGGATCCCATCTATAAACAAATTTACTCCTTCAGGAATCGGAGACTCCTGAAGATCTTCCCTTACTTTAGTTTTACAGTTTATTAGGTCCAGACAACAATGTTCAATATTACTGGATTGCCCTGGGCTGGCACTCAAAAAGGAGGCAGGGTTAACATTACGATCCTGTGCCAAAACCAAATCGTCCTTTTCCAATAAAATTGCTTCATATTTCAATATTCTTGCCTCTGGCTACTGAATCCAGAAGCTTAGATAAAAAAACTGCCGGACACCTCTGCCCTCCTCTTTTTTGTGCCTAAACTCCAAGGGCTACTCCCTTTCCTTATACAAACAAATGAAATGATTTCTCCAAGCATGGTAAAGCTAACACAGGGGGAGAGATTAGAACTCTTTTCAATTGCTCAAAACTTTGATTACTTTCCTCATCCCAATCTATAGGATCTGGTCCCTCACTCAATAAATGTTTATATATATTGAGAGTTGCATAGGAATCAATCCAGTTTCTACAATATCCTACCTATCCAAGAAATTTACAGACTTCCCTCTTAGTCCTAGGTCTGGGTATATGAATAATCCCTTCTACCCTAGCCAGACCTAATTTCTTACTTCCTTCACTAATTAAATGTCCCAAATACTTAACTTCCTTTTCCACAAATTGTAATAAACCTTGAAGCAACCCATTATCAACTTAGCTGGATGTACTTCCAAGTCACTTTGTATGGAAAAAATAATTCATCTCATCATTAATATTTTGAGACTATAACTATAAACCACAATATTTTTTATAATAATCAAGATTTTAAATAAAAATCTGTTATCATAATCTTATAACCAAATATACCTCACTAGGTATTTAACAGTTTTCAAATCATCTCATCTTTATCTCTAAAAAGACCCTTTGCTGGTCAAGAGTTACCTTAACACCATTTCTTCCTCATAATGGTCCCTCAAATTTTACAATCTAAGAGTTTTAGAAATACAATACAATTTAGAAATACAGTAATAACTTAAACCATAAACTTCAGATAACATCAATTGCATTTCCATATTATCACATACAGAAATGATCACTCTCATTACTCTTGTTACACTTTTAACTTTTAACATTAACACATTTCATAACATCCATTATTATTTTTTTTATAGAATTGTAAACTTAAATACAATCAGATCTGAATTTACAATCACTAATGATAAACATTTAAAAACATTTTTGTTTTAAATCCAATACTCTTGGCACTTTCAGGATTCAGCAATTTGAATAATCAATTTTCTCCCCTTAGGCAGAAGGCCTCTAGAGTTCCAATAAGTAATTGAACAGCCCAGTTTATGTAACAATATCCAATCACAATGAGCTGCAAAATTTTCAATTTCAATTCTTCTACTCAAAACAGAGTCAAGCTTCCTCACATCTTTAAAACCCCTTGAAGTCACCCAGAACCAATATCCAAGGGTGGCTTACCTCAAAATACTCTTCCCTTTTCTTTCTTGTCTTTCCCTTCACACTCAAAACTTGGCCAGAGTTAGAATGTAAAGAGAGAGAGAATTTTCTCTCTTTTTCCCTTCCATCCACCCGCTCCTCTGAGGAATTAGGAAGGGAGAGGGGGAGAGAAAAAAAGAAAACATTTTTTCCAAGCAATAAATCCAGCTGCAGCTCTTAGAAGCTATCTGGCTACAAAGGGTATCAGATTACACACGGACACTCACTCATACCACACAGAGACACAAACACAGACAGAAACAAAGTCACGACCTCACATGTTTGATAGTGCACTCAATTACTCAATCTGTTCCCTACATTTTTGGTAGTTCATCCCAATCGCTAAACCTAGCCCTTAAAGGGCTATCTTCTGGTATACCTTCTTTCTGCTCTGTGGTGCCAGGTTTAGACTGCTCCTTACCCATTTTACTCATTTCAAAAATTTATTCAGGACCCAAAATTTCAGGACCTCACCTTAGGCCTTACCCATCTCAAAAATTTCCCTATATTTTCAAAAATTTACTTGGAGGCCATCGCCGGACCCTCCCAGGTCAGTGACCTACGAATTTCAGGACCCTCCCCATTTAATTTCAGGCCCTACCTTAGGCCCTGCCGGAGGGGTCACCTGAGCTCTCACTCACTCGTCGATGTCTCTCCAGGGATATTCCATCTACCCAAAGACCCCCAAGTTCTGGCATGGCCTCAGGTTATACGCGTATAACTTAACATGACTGCTCTTTCTCCACCAGCCAGAGTTTTACACTTCACTTGCACCACCATCGGAGCTTTTTTTTTTCTCCCCCCCACCTTTTTTTTCTTTCTGTTCCTCCGAGTTCCTCTCTTCGGGATGTCTGCCCCCCAGGAGGGAGACCGATCCCCCAAGTCTGAGAGCCACCAAAAAAAATTGTTGGTGGGCGCCCTGCTCTCAGCCCTTGGAGAGGGTCGACTCCCGGGGGGCTTCTTTCCCGGCCAATGCACCAAACTGTGTGGGATAGTGACCTTAAAAAAACTCAGAGGTACAGAAAGTTTACTTCAATTCTCGAGAATTGGGTGTTTCTCTCACCAGCATGATTTCTGATGGAGGAAGACAAATTACAAAAGCAGAAAGCCAGTTTAAATAACAGAAACGGGGGAAATTCCCCCTCCCACCAACTAACCAATATTTGGCTTACAATCTATGCACGAAAATCTATTCCCAGAGACAGAGAACAAAGAAACAATACACATATCCATCACCTTAGCTTGCTACAAAAATGAACAATTTAGTATGTGAGATCAAGCTAAACGCTGCTGTGGGAAGGTCACCATGACCAAATGCGGGGGTACAAGGGGGGTTTCAGACTTGGCAATCTTTAACTACTGACAACCCTGGGAGAAGGGGGAACTATAGAAATCTATACTTATCCTTATCTGTCTTCTAAACTTATTTCCAAATTCAAGATAGTCTTATCCCAAACCTTAATTACACCGAGAAGTCTTCATAGGGGCATCCCACACATGTTGGATACTCTAGTTACATAAAGGGTTCAGATACATGTTGGGAAATTTGAATATTGTGTTAACTCAAAGAACCTCTCTAAATGTAATTCACAACATAGACTGGCTTCATGCTTGAAAATATAATCACATATGGAGAAGAAAGATTTATTTTGCTTTGTTTTTAAGGAGGTAAACAAAACACTTTTGAATGAGAAACTAGTTACAAATATGCCAGCAAGTCTTTAGTGTGACTGTTAGAGCTGAAAATGAATGCTCCTATGGTGTGAAGGTCCTTCCCCTAAAATCCTGTCTTAGGTTTCAGTTACCTGCTAATAGGAGGGACTCAGTTCAAGGAAGCATTTTTATTCTCCCTAAATTCTGTTCGTTTCTCTTGGCACTCTCACCCCTATGCCCACACAACAGTAGCAATTAACATAGATAACAAATGTTTAATAGTTGCTTGTTTGACTAACTAGGATTGTTTCATTTTTCTGAGACAAGAATACTCTGACCTCATCCGTCCCAAGGGAGGCTGACTGCTTCTTCCTCTCAGAGTTCTAATGTAATGCTGAATGGTTCTGACATGCCTCCTTTTTTATGCCATTGTATGAGCCTCCAGGCTGTTTCCCCTAGCTTTTACAAAGGGATATTTACTTTGAAGATATAACAAGAACAAAAGGACAAACGTTTTCCCCACCACACCTCTGAGGCACACTCTCCCCTATCCTACCTTCTGCTCTAAGTAGAATAAGCCTCAAACTTAGCTAGGTTACTTTATAATGCCAGTCCCACCAAGTTCCTTCCAGCTTTAAATGAGGAAATGCTACCAGATGAATCCTGTAGGCTGGGTTGTGAAAGTCACTCCCAGAGGTCAACTCTTGTTCCTGAGGGCACTGATCCTAAGCTGTCTAGAAAACCCAGATGTTGATAGACCGAATGCTTGGGATGGCAAAAATCAGCCTTTGGGAAAACACCCATTTCAGCATCCTATTGCTTAGTAGATCATCCTTTTGCCGCCATTACCTTTTCCACCTTTTTTTCCAACTAGTCATGATAACCACCACAAGGTCCCAAAGGGCGAAGGATTGGGAGTCCTGCATCCTTAGAAACTAGCACTGTCAGCACTCATTTTGGGGCTTGTGTCACTCCATAAATGCTGGGTAATAATTGTGTAGTGGTAATCAAATATTTGAGGTGGAGAAGGAGAGCAGAGGCGGGGAGGCAGAGGGAGTATCTCAATTACAATCCAGCAAAAGGAAACATTTTATTTTTGTGTAATATCTGATTACCAACTACATCTGGATTTCTGAAGCAACTTTCTTTAAAATCAAAAGAGAGTTGCTAATGTCCAAATGTGAGATAAGGTAAATAGGGGAGTTTTTTTCATTCTTTCAATTGAATATTTAGTTTAATCATGCCATGTATAGCAGGCTGAACTGCATGGTGTTCACAGTAGGACCAAAGAATACAAGATGAATGTATTAAACAGAGAGAATATCTTTAGAGATGCTCTCATGACTGTTTCTAAATAAAATGCTTGAATTTACCACATTTATCTTAGCAGTAAATCTTTATAGTTCTAGCCTTTCCTCCACTTGACAAATCTTGATTCCAGTCTATTTAAATGTCTTTGATTTCATTTATTTTTCTACCTTGGGCTAACTTTTCTATTATTGGACTGATTGTATCTTAAAATATTAGCTGTATGAAAATAGTATCACAGTAGGTGTTGTATCCAAACTAAAAATATTTTCAGGGGCATTTCATCAGTTATTTATAAGACATACTGAGGATAATCTTATACTTTGGAAATACCAGTTACCAAAATCTTAAAGATAAAAAATGTATCTGAGAAAACAAGTTTCTAACTGATGATCAAAATCATTAAATCTAAGTAGTATATCTGTATAAATAATTAAGATCTTGGAACCAGACATTTCCTCACTCATATAGGTTCGGAATGTCTTTTGTGATGGTATTTTTTCCCTGGATTAATATTCTTATTATTTGGGCATAGTTCTTATTGCGCCTCATCCAGAAGGAGCTCTGCTGCACAAGATCCATGCCCGGAGAACAGCTTCAGTAAGTCCAAAACCATGATCTTTTTCATTAATATAGTCGAGTAGATCATTCAAAATAATTTTCTAGCTTATCTTTCTTATATAATTCACCTTTCCTTTTTTTATCCTGAGGGAAAAAAAGTTCTCCTCATTAGCTCCTTTATCAGTTATTACTCCTACTTTTTTAATAAAATACCCACACAAACATGAACCTGTCAATTTCTCTTTAAAATATGACCCAAGTATGCTAGATGAAAATTGCTTGCTTTTGTCATTCTCTTTAAAATAGTTTGATAAAAATGGCACCTCTTAAAGCCTAACTTCCCCATTTTCTACCTCTTTCCTCACTGACCACTATAATGCTTTGGAATTTGGGGAAAGTGCTATTCAATAAGCACATATTTTGGAAAGGATTCTTGAGAAAGAAAGAGATGCTCTCTGCTGTTATATGTTGAAAATGTGCTTGTTGTAAAAATATTTATGACTTCAAATGAATAAGTACATACAAATCTTTGATCAAGTAATTACCATGGGCCAGATATTATCCTAAGCATTGGAGATACAAATGCAAAAATGAGACAGTACCCATATGGAGCTTAAATTCAACTGGGGGAGACATCACAGATAGGCCAATAGTAGCCCAGAAAAGGAATTATGGTCTAGAAAGTCACAAAGATGTTCGGTGTTCTATTGAGTAGTCCACTAATATACTTATTATTCAGCTGCTTACTGTTTAATCCTTTCTCATATTATCGCTTTCTTGCAGGTTTAAAGAACATTAATCATTTCAGACACATTTGGGGAAGAATCTATACTCATCATCCAAAAATAATCATTCAAGGCACAGTACAATGTAAACAACTCCACTTTGAAGAACTTGCTTTCTCTACATGCATTTTGCACACATACCTGAAAGAGATACAAAAGCAAATGTTACATCCTTTTATATTTTATTAAGCACATACAGAACCTCAGGATTATAGTTCTCAGAGAGTTAGTTCTCAGAGAGGTAAGAGCTGCTGAAATCTTCAGACTAGTTACTTTAGTTAAGGTCATAAGGAAAAGATACCAAGTGCCTGGCTGATTCATTTTTATCTAATTATTTGAACATAACTTGAGACGAGTATAGAATTGATCTGGCACTGAAATGAAGCGTGAGCCATTCTCAGGTTTCTTAGTGATGGAATATTACAGTAATTTGAAAACTATGCCAGGAAGAACTTCAACAATAAACATCTGTTTATTCTTTAACAATAAACAATGTCATTTTCAAAAATACTAGTATGTTATATTAAATGTAATAGCCACAAACTGGTAAAGAGGTCATTGATATAAAACAGTAGTTTAACTTAACCTTGAAAAGAAAATTGGTTCCCTCAAGCTTCAATCAAAACTGAACTTTGAGCATGTCAATCCCAATAAAGTATTTTCCCAATTTTTCTCTATATACTGTCCCACATCCAGTTGATGTGATAAATTAGTATAGAACAACAAAGCAGCCTAAACCAGTTAGCTGGAATAAAATGAAAATGGCTAACTGAATCATACCAGAGAATACCAGTCAAACAACACTGTTGTTTCTGAAAGGTTTACATTTGTTAGAAGTACTCTGGAATGCTGTTGAAGGCCCCATAAAATGTCTACACATCAGTTAAAGCTGCTACTTGGTACTTAGAGCCAAATTATACAGGAGGATGAGCAAAATGAAAAAGGAAAATTCATAGGTTTGTTATTTAGGAAGGTTAGTTTGTTCACATGCATAGTAATCGATACAATTTCTTTGCAATTGCATCGACCATTTTTCCTTTTCATTCTAATAAAATAGTAGAGATCGTTTTTAGATGTATAGCAACACAATAGATTTTTTAAAACGTGCATTGTGTTATATTCAGGTTAAAGAAAATTAAATGACATTTTGTTATTTATTAAAGCAAACAGAAATGTGTTTTCTGAGTTTTTATTAATGCTTGGTTGGTTTTGCAAAATATCCATCTGATCCCTTTTAAATAAAATGTTTTTAAAAATCAAACCAATATATTGGGAAATTATGATCATTGTGTCTTACAATTTTCTTTCTCACAATTTTGTGGGGAGGGAGGGATAATCTTCAAAATAAAGTTGCATGTTCTTAATTTTGTCCAGATAAAGTACATCTCTGATAATGTTCAAATTGAAATCACAGATGGTTTCCAATTAAAAGAGCGTATATTCTTCTGCATGGATAGGATCCTAATTTTTTTTTAACTAAAAAGAGGCAGTGTAGGCTATAACAAACAGCTGCCTAAACTGTTTGGATTTCAGAAAGCTAGGCAGTTTAAATTTAAGTAACGCATCAGCATGTAGCAGACTTGTAACAAAGAATGTCAGACATGGAGTATGTGTAGCAATAACAATGAGCTCCCAATGTTCTTGAATATAGATAAAAGGATCTCAACTATAAAAGAATCTTGGACTGGGTCCCACCTATAATGTGCCCAAATACATTACCAAAAAGTCCCAAGTATAATAATAATATATACATACATACATACATACATATATAGCCTCATTTGCCAGGTATGATGAGGACCTAGCTTTGCTGCTAGAAATCCTTCCAGCACCCGGGGCAAAGTAGAAAGCAGCAGCAGCAGCAGGGTCTTAGTCTAAGAGGGCAAAAGGCCTCAGTAACTTCAATGACAAATTCTCCGATCCTCAATCTTGGGCTTTTATCTCTAGGGCTCATTTTCCTTTAATGTGGTTTTTCGCAAGAGTTGATGTTGATGACACATAACTTTTCTCTCAGGATTTCCTTTCCGCATTCTCACTTCAGGTCCTACTTAAAGGTAGATCAGACTGTCTCATATCTTTTAAAAGGCAAAACCCTTTCCCACATTTGTTACCCCCTCCCAAATAAAACACACCAGCTAATCATAATTTGGTGGCCACCAGTTTTGGTTTTCTTTTATGTAATTAGGATAAGCAATTGGAAAACTGTTTGGAATATCTGGGGCTGTAGCTGGTGGGGAACAGGATGAGTTGTTCCATTCCTCCCTCCCCATTCCTCCCTCCCTATTAACTCAGCTCCTACCTGGAAGGGAAGGGCACCAGAAAATAGACATTAGAACATTTAACAGAAGGCTACTTCACTGACAAGAATGGGGGAAGGAGAAAGAAAAATGTCAGAGATTTTTTATGTGTGTGATTCACCAGCCCACTCCACCATTAGCCGTTTCCACTGTTGCTGCTTACAGCTTCCAACTGAAATTATCCCCAACAGCAACCTACACAGCTTGTGGAAGAGGAATGACAAAGCATGTAGGGAGCCAGGCCAAACATTGTGATTCCATATGACTTGGCCAAGAAGGATTCTCCATGCCATTCTTCCCGAACTCCAAATCCTGTGTACTCTGGATAAAAGTTGCTTCTAGTGTCCAGATTCTCCTTGGTAACTCTCTCAGGCTGGTAAACCAGGGCTACATCAATAATTTTAAAAAAACAATGTCAATCACTTAAAATATTATGCAAAACAACAGCAACCAAAAAAAAAAACCCTCAGTTTATAAATTAAGAAAAGGGCTGGAGCTCTTTGCTCAGACTTGTGACCATAGTCATGAATTCCACTGGTAAGTTATGCTCAACTGAATCAGTGCTTTATCATGAATGAAAACTATTTTGCACCTCAGAATACTCTTTCTCTGGCAAAGTAAACCTTATGTTAAATGTTAGGTTGATTATTTTTTCACCTAAACTACCAAGGGACTGGTATCCCTCCTTGGTATCCTTTTATGAGATGGGAATCTCTTTGATTAAGTCAAGAGGGAACTAACCAGAATAGTTTCTTACCACGGAGTTCTAGAGTCTGTGGACTTTTTCAAAAAATATTTTAATAACTATGAGGACTTTTAAAAAATATTTTAATAACTATGTATCAGTGTAATCAGTTTCCTTTGTAACTTTATGTATTTTATTTTATATATTTAAAAATATTCTAAAAATGGTTCATTGATGTTAACAGATTGTCAAAGGGGTCCATGACACAAAATGTTAAGAATCCAGGACTCTTCTGACTGGCCAGTTAAACAAGATCACCATAATTTGAAGAACTTTAAACATGGAGGAATTTGATCAGTTATTGAGTCCAGTGGCAAAACAGTCAAGCAGTAGAAGATTCCGGGCTCAAGACTGAGCACTGGAGTGGGTGTTAGACATCATTTTGCTTTTCCCTCGAAGCTAATCTTAACAAGTTGGCTCCAGATATGCAGTCTTTATGTCCAAAGGCATTACCAATTTGAAAAAACAGAACAGTATATGGCTAATCTACTTAAGCCAACCTTAAAGTGATGTTTCCCTAGTATAGTAAGCATAGCAGATTTTCATAGTTCGGTACCCCAGAACCAAATGGAGAAATTTTAACAGTAATTGACATTGATATAGAGTTTTAGGTTCAAAATGCTTTATGCATGTCATTCCATTACGCAATTATAATGAGCACTAGCATCACACTTGACTCTGAAAATAATTAAGTTTAGCTTGACTCCTAATGAATAATGCTATAAAATAATTAGCAAGAGAACTATTTTTTAAAACTTATAAGCAAAGATTAAGTGTGGAAAGGGGCAGAGAGAAGCATATTCAGAAATAAATGTTGTGTGAAAACAAAAGGAATTAATATAACAGGTTTTTTAAAGGACATTTGTCGAGTAGAATTTCTTGTGTGAAAGTCAGGACGTGTAGATAAAGAAATATTATTCATAAAAATAATACTAATAGTCATTTCAGTGTGGCTGCTTTTATGCAGGTGAAACAAAATAATTGACAGCTGTGTCAGGGGCTGGCTCATTTTCCAATGGTTACAAACTCCCATCCCTCTTACTCTTCTAATTCCATTGATACTAAATCCTCAACCAACTAAGAACAAATAACTCTCCCCAACCCCAGCTATCTGATCTCTCAACCCCAAACACTTCAATATAACCTTTCAATGTCCCAACCCAGGTTTATCTATCCCTGCCATTGTCACCCCTAGGATCACCATTTCATACTTAAGCTTCCTTTCATTTTACTTTTATTTCTTTAATGGACTTCACTGTAACCCCCAGTCTTGTTTCTACCTGCACATCTCTCATATGGGTTTTCTACAATCCACTCACATGGGCATAGTCTGGTAATTGTTCTGCCTGCCTCGAACCTCTTCACACTCCAATCCACCACACTGTTGCCAGCATAATTTTCCTAAATAGGTTTGACCTTGTTATTCCCCTACTCACTATTATCTCTATGATCAAATAAAAACTGCTGTTTGATATTTAATGTTCTTTACAACCTGGGCCTATCCTACCATTCTAGTCTTACGCAGTGCTCCTCTTCTCTATGGCCCAATTATACTAGACTATTTGATCTTACATATAACAAGGCATCCCCCACACCCATGTTTTTAATTGTCTGTCCTCTGTGTCTGGAATCCTCTTCCCACTTCACCTTTGTCAGGTAGAACTCCTCATTTCTTTTAAGACTGAGCTCAAATATCAACTCCTATACGAGGCTTTTCCTATTCCTCCTAGCTGCTAGCAACACTCAATTATAAAGCAAGACATTGGAGGTGTCTTTGATGGTAGAAAAGAACTCTTCAATGTATATCTGCTTTAATCCCCTGAAGACCCATGAGACTGACTAAAAGTTCAGCCTCTATTACAGAGTGAGTGGGGAGAAGTCTCACAAGAGGAATAAGAGAGTAGAGATGAAGCAAGGGCCAGAGAAATCCGATGTGAGCAGTCTGGGGTCCCAAACATGGGATTATCACTGTGCTGTAGCTACCATTAAAAGAACTGGAGGGAAAGAGCAAAGCTGAGACCTGAAACCAATCAATGTGAAAACCACAGGGAACAGAAACAAAGTCGTTGGATTAATTTGTGCTGCTGAGAAAAATATTAGTAAATATGCACTTTCCAGCTGTTTGTTTCACTCCTACTTTGATTCTTTCTTAAAAGAGAAATAAGCTTCTTTTTTGATCCCAGTTTGTTTTGCTTTCTGTTTTATGGCTTCTCTGAAATGAAAAAAGAAATGGTTAATCATTATAATGTTGGGGTGTGTGTGTGTGTGTGTGTGTGTGTGTGTGTGTGTATGTGTGTGTGCTTGTGCTTGTGCAATAGAAACCGAGGACAAGTATAAAGTATCCAAGAAAGAGGGTTTTGTTTGTTTTTTTAATATTTAACTCACGGGACCTTTCCTTGGAAATATCATGTCTTAGGGCTATACAAAAAAGAATTATTAATGATTTATGTTTTTCAAGTCTCCCAAAGGCAGGGAAAGAAAACCTGGAAAGACCAATCCTAAACAAAACAAGTTGAACTGTATCAGTGAGGAAAGATTTGAAGAGCTGAAAATTTGACTTTCTGAGGTGATTGCCTCATGTACTTTGCCTTTTCCATTGTTTCCTAGATTTAAATGGAAAACTTTTCTTCTGATTAGCAGGGCCAAAGGCACAATTAGAGAAAAATTAACTCCCAAGAGGAGATGAAGAGGACCTGAGAAGAGTGTCTCTGCCCACTTCAGGGTGGGGCCCAGCAAGAGGTCATCTGTTCAGTCATCTGCTCACCAGCACATTAACCTCTACTTCAACAAACTTTTATGGATATGTGTATTTATATGTATATATGTATGTGTATTTATATGTGTGTGTATATATGTATATACATACACACGCATATGTGTGTGTGTGTATCTGTGTGTATGTGTGTGTGTCTCCCCTTTTAGAATGTAAGCTTTTTGAAGGTTTGGGATTTTTTTTTGTATTTTGTCTTTGTCTCCCCAGAACCTAGTATAGTGGCAGTCACAAAATAGTCATAACAAATGCTTGATTGATTGACCAGGTACTGTTGCCTTCGTACTGGTATCCTGCCCTCCAGTGTATTTCTGTGCCTAGGAGGTATGTCCAGCTTCTCTTTTGCCTTTGTGCTACATTCTTATAGTCTTAGAAGGACACAGTTGACAGTAATTGGAGTTAGGAAAACCA